AATCAAAACAAACATAGTGTAGTAATAGAATTTCAACTAGAATAGGGTACGCTAATCGTTTGCTTGGGACCAATAGGCTACTAAAGTGGTGAGCCAATTTAAAATCGTTAGTTTCGTATTGATTGTTGGTATAATGGTGTTCAGCTAATCGCCTTCTACCATAATTCTCCATAAAACAAAACAAAAATTGAGGGTTGCTTATGATGACTTTGAGAGAAGCTTATAAACGTTTCAATGAAATCCACGGCAATACAAAAAATGTACTATTCGCTTCAAGCACTTTTATTTCAGGAACACGCAATCAGCTCGTGAGAGAGAATTTTCTCTCTCAAATTTGAATTTTTTTGTTCTCTCGGGACTGGTAGTAAATCAGGTAAAACGGTATGGGGAAAAATCATTTTTATTTAATTATAGCTTGTTTAACAATAAATTTCCGGGAAAAAACTTATCGACAAAGTCCCTGAATTCTTTATTTACGTAGTCGTTTACTTTTTTTGACCTGAATATGCACCAAAAGTGAATTATTCCCACTTCTCAAATTCTATATGGGGACTTTTATCACTTTCTACCAGCGGAATAGCGCCATCTCTGTGAAAAATGGCCGGACGATATGATTAATTGCCAAATTAATATCTACAACTTTTTACATTTTTACTAAAAAGGAACAGCTGAGCAGCTAAATTTAAAATTATCGTTCAGGATCGATTCGCGAGGCAATGAACCAAGTTTGTGCTGGATTTCGGCCAATTTGAATCACGCCTGATTTTCCAAAATGGTGTATTAAAAAAAATCAATAAACTATAGCATGAAAACGACTTATCTAATCGAAATGACGAGTGAAACAAAGTTGTAGGAATTAGATTACCTGTTCAGAATAATATACACACTGAAAAAAAATCACAATGTTTCGACAAAAAGTTAAAAAAAAACTGTTAACAACTTCAGTAACATTTTCATTTGAAAGCTTACTGAGATAGCATTTTTGATAAGATTTCAAATAAACATAAGTTAAAAAATCTTAAAAATTATTTTTTTTTATATTTAAATTTTTACAAGCCATTTTCGTGCTATGATTTATTGAATAATATGAATATGCCATTTTAAAAAATAAGGCAAATTTCAAAATGGTCAAATTCCAGCAAAACCTTGGTTCTTTGCCCCTAGTGAACAATTACAGGCTGTTTTATAGAATTCGGAGAGAGGAAATTAAAATTGATCCATGGAACTGCTCAGCAATTTAATTGTAACTTTTATCGGACTGGTTATGCCCTTTTGATATTTTTTGGAAATTTGTCAAAATAAGAGCATTTCAAGGCAGTGTTGACTATTTGAATTTGGATTCAACAGTTCGACAGTTATATCCAATGATTACGTCCGATAGTAACTGGTGCTGCCTAATAAACGCCAAATACTTATAAACATGTAAATTTGGGTGGATATTCTTTTTTGCAGACCTACATTTCCTTTTTCGCTGGGACTTTACTTTTCTTTTTTATGATTTATCAAGGGACGGAAAATTTCAAATAATATATGATGGGAAAATTATGAGTATATTTGAACAAATCGTATACAAATATTCATGAAAACAACAACTAGGTTTAAACCGGAAATTTTTAATTGGCAGTAGGGTTTGATAAACTTTTTTAACATACTGTATATCATATGAACAATCGACAATTTGACTTTAAAAAAGTAGAAGGGTCTGTGCCTAGGGGCAAGAACGGAAGCTTGACGTAGGACAGCTAGTGGACGGAATAAATGTGAAGAGCGTTTAGTTCTTTTAATTGATCAATTATCTATTATCTCAACTCTTTCCGTTTTTGAATTGTAGGCGTGCCAAATTTGTAGTATTTTTTTTCAAAGAAAAAGTTGATTAAGAGAATCAATCAAAATCACTTGCACCGCTGCTTCCAAGTTTGGTAACAAGATTACAACTCTGGAGAGCATTTTGTGTGGTCGTTGGGGGCTTGTGGTTCTGAATATGGGCAAACAAGCACAGATAAATTCTATTCCAATTCTTTACAGTTATAAGCTTGATGGCTCTGAAAAGGGCCGTTTTATTGTAGAGGACATCAGCATCACGGATCTCATTTTTCAGGAACACCTTCAGCACACCTCGTAAATTAGACCGGAGATACGTCAGACATCGCCACGGCGAGCCAGACGACGGATGGTGGTTATCTCGAAGAATTTGCGTTTGGTTCTGAAAATGGCGATGAGTGTTGAAAATATTACGCAATTCCATCCTCCCTATTCGCACGCGCCCGAGGATCGGAGGCAAATGCTACTTCGACTTGTTTCGTCTACTTACTATTCTCTGACGACTGTGCTGGGGAAGCAGCATATGCATGTAGGTAATTGGTGGATTTATTAGTTAATTCAACGCTTTTGGGCAATGCTGGACATTTACCAGTTTTTCAATAGTTTCTTGTTGAAAACCAACATTCAAAAGCATTCGATGCGTAGCCATATTTGTGATCGATTGGTGATAAAATTATTGAAATTGGACCAGGGACAGCTGAGTTATTAACGTTCAAAATCTTTCTTAATTTGTTACATGTTCCATTTTCGGTTTTCACAAAGTGTACCCCCATATAGAAATCAAAGACGTAGTCCTACGTTAAAAATTAAAAGAATTGTTCATAACATCTAAATTTATGGACTATCTAGGATCTGACACAGTTGTGCTATGATTTCAACGCCGACACCAATTTACTTTATTACTCTGTTCGCACCTGGGAATCAATGGAAAAATTTCCCCTACCAATTCTATTTTGATGCATCACTGCTTATGTTTTTGGTTCATATGCGTTGTATTTTTTTCGAGCTGTACTGTCAGCATTAGGGTAGTTCAAATTTTAATAATGTTCTTAAATCAAAATCCACGAGAAACTCAAACACGCCGCATGGTACTTGCAAAGTAAAGATCACTAGGAGTGTTAGTTAGTCAGTTTGAAAAAAAAAATCATGACACTCTTTGCGTTTACAGTGATGCATTTTTCTTCGGAATTATAAAAAAAAATCATGGTTAGCGATTCTGGATCACAAACTTTTCTATCTCAAAAGCAATTTCCATCTGAATTTGGCTGATTTATGAAATGTGCAGTAGGGCAATATTGGAGGAGGATTGGGTGCTTGAAGAAAAGAACATTTTTGAAATTTTAACGATCCTAATCGTACATCCGTTTCTTTTTACAGTCAAGCACTGGTGCATTCATCGTTAGGGTCATAGCGAAACGGTGCATTCATAGAAACAGGGAAACAATGATAAAAATTAAGCAGTAAAGGGGATGAGGGCATTCAAGCCAAATGTAACAAATATATAAAATGTTTGTATCCTCTTATAAACAGGAAATCCAAACTTTGCCTGACGAATAAACTTCTAATATTTAAACAAGTTTTTAGACCGGCCATGCTTTACGCTGTGCCAATATGGTCTAGTTGTTGCACTACCAGGAAAAAAGCACTTCAAAGGATTCAGAACAAAATTCTGAAGATGATTTTGAAGTTGCCTCCCTGGTACAGTACTACCGAAGTACATAGAATTTCGAATGTTGAGACTTTAGCACAAATGTCCAACAAAATAATTAATAATTTCCGGCAAAAATCGTTACAATCCTCAATTGCAACGATTAATTCCCTTTATACTTAGATAAGATTTAGTTTTAGTTATTTAGTTTTAAGCTATCAATTGTTATACTGACATGCAGGTTTAAAAAACCTGTTTAAAATACTGAATTGCCAAGACAGGAACAATGTAAAAACACTTAGATATATATCATAACAATTAAGGCTGGTAAGTTACTGTAGTAACTGGAGCACCTAGGTTAAAAATGAAATGTAATTTATTTTGAATTTGGAACAAATAAAGAGTTAAAAAAAAAAAAAAAAAAGCAGTAAAGGGACCATGAACAGAACAGATGTCTATCGTAGAACGGAAATAGAAGTTGTTTCAGCTTTTTCTTCTTCTTCTTCTTCTTCTTCTTCTTCTTCTTCTTCTTCTTCCTTCTTCTTTTTCGCTTTTCAAGCTTATTGCTTATCGCATATTAGGTTATTACGTGCTCTCAACTTAGTGTTCTAGATTCACTTCCACAGTTATTAATTGAGTACCATTTTTGCATTAGTATAATTGTGTGGCAAGTACAACCATACTTTATCCCCAGGGAAGTCGAGAAATTTTCCATTCCGAAAAAATCCTAGACCGGACCGGGAATCGAACCCAGAAGTCACCTCCAGTATGGCCTTGCTTTGTAGCTCCGCCTTTAACAACTGAGCTAAGGGAGGCCCCAGTTTATTCGGGCACCGTATTTTCTATATAGCCAACTTCAATACAATATCGTCTGAAATTAGATATCTTTAAACCTCGTGAATCATGAGATATGTGCTCTTGAAATTGCGAACTGTGAAGGTTAAAAGGATTTGCAAGGAACTTTGAGAATATTCTAGGATAATTCAATGAAAATTCTTGAGCAAAATCCTAATAAATTCTATAATGATTTCCAAGTAAATTGCGGTACAAAAATATCTAGATCCTGGACCAAGGCAAAGCTTTCATATTCTGAAATTATGCACATCAAATGTGTTTCATAAAAATTGAACATGTAAAGAGCAAGAATAAAAATATGTGTACCATCATATGGAAGACTCAACGTGGTCCACACTGATCTTTCGAAAGGGTTAGAAACACCGTATAGCACAGAAAAAGTCAAAAGAATGACGACGAGCCGCAAAGCTCGATCATCGAATGGTATTTTCAACCGTCAACTGTGGCACAAAATCATCAAACCCCTAAACCCCAAAAGCTGTAAAACCAAGTTCAAATCCGACGCAGAATTAAAAACAGCCAAAGTTTATTTTTCTCGTATGAAGACACCTGCTAGCGAATCCTAAGAAACTTATATTTCTTTCAAATCAATGAAAAACACCATTAACCATGCTCTTCTGCGTCCATAAGCCATTTATTATAACTTATTCCAGCCTCAACACATCTCTACGCAATCTTACTTGTGTCCAGTGCTAGCCTTCTCAGTCAGTGCTTCCAAGGGTTTTCCGGTTTGAACGATTTTGATTGCCCTCGGACCTTTGGGCTCGGGAAGGGCCTTCTTCGCTGCCGTGACCGTCAGGATTCCATCCGACGATAGCGATGACACAACCTGGTCCGCATCATGATCTGCCGGGAGCACGTAGCGTCGTACGAAGTGTCTCGAGATGTAGCCATGCTCGTCCTGCTTTTCCTCGTGTTTTCCTTCAACGGTAACGGACCGCTGGTCGACACTTACCGAGATTTCCTCCGGTGCGAACTGTTGCACGTCCAGATTGATCTGGAACTTGTCGTCGGCTACTTTGACCATGGATCCGGAGTCCGGACGGGACACGGCATGCGATAGATGCCACGGTCGATTGTAGCCATGTTGCCTTCTTCGGGCATGGTGCGTGGTTAAAGCGGCGACCAGATCATCGGTAGCCAATCCATGGCCAAAATGTTGATCCAGCAGGCGAGACGTTCGAAGAGGGGTATCCAAGTTGTCATCCCACCAGTCTCGGAAAGTCAATGGAATGATAGACATTTCTCGATTGATAAAATTTCACGACCTCACTTCAGAACAAACCGCTACAAACTGATAGGGCCTCGCAGGCGGGCGGTTTGCTTTTATAAGAACAGGAGAAGAGGGAAGTGGACAGAAACTGTGTACGTGCATACCTGCACCTATGTAATGAAGGATGCAAGCAGGATAAGAAGGAAAGCCGTTAAGGACAAACCGTTCGGATTCTAATTCCGGACGCCTGAAAGAGCTGTTGCACTTATTTTCCCCTTAAATTCTAGATGTGGAATTTTCTCAATACTGAGAATGTGAAGTTTGTATGCAAAATTTTAAATTAAGTTCTTCGACCAACCACAAATCGATTTTTTTATTATTAATTAAATTTAAATTGGCTAGCACACATGAGGATACGAATGTTAAACTAAAAAAGTAATTCAGCTAATAAATAATGAGAATAACAGCCCAATGCAAACGTAATGATCCGGAATTCAAAGTCGAACGGTGAGTTCTTTATGGCCCCTTTTCCTCAGGTATTAGGCCTTTGAGATAGTGTAAAAGGCAATGTATGAACATCGCAAGCGAAAGCATGAGATGTTCAGTTCAAGCACAACTGTACCGAATTCACCCGTATCTGCTTGATTCATCATTTTCCCAAAATCGATGTGCATGGAAACTATAGCAGCTCGAGAGTGAGCGCACGGTTTGGATGAACACGTGCTTAAGTTTAAGTCAGACACAGCTTGCATAGTCTCTCTCCCCGTTGAAAAGTAAACCGTCATCCCGGTTCAGTTTGACTTGGTTTGTTGTGGTGGGAAGTGCATGCTGCAGCTGGTTTGTCGAAAAAATGTCTTTTATCCCATTCGTTCCAATGCTTTACCGTAACGTGTGGGATGACACACTGAATGCTCCTGTGAATACTTCCCATCTGCCGGATCAACATTTTGGACATGTAGTGGCCACCGAAGACCTGGCGCATGCTTTAAACACGCTCCACGCCCGAACGAGACACGGCTACAGGCGACCGTGGAATCTTCCGAGCAGTGCATCCCGTCAGGACGCCGGATCCACAGTCCAGACTCTCGACGACAGGTTCGAAATCAATCTGGATGTTCAGCAGTTTACACCGGAGGAAATATCGGTTCAGGCCACCGACCAGTACATCACCATCGAAGCCAAGCACGAAGAGAAGCAGGACGAACACGGTCACATCTCCCGGCACTTTGTTCGACGGTACGTACTTCCCTCGGGGTACGACTCGGATCAGATAGTGTCGTCACTGTCGTCGAATGGAATTCTGACAATCACGGCTCCGAAGCTTGCATTTCCCGATCCTGGAGCTCTTCGGGCGATATCGATTGTTCATACTGGTCAGCCCATGGGTAAATTGACTGACACGAATGGAATGAGAAATGGAAATGGTGTGGATAACTAATGAAACATTTAACTTCATGTTGTTGGGAATTTCGTGATTTAACTAATAAATAAATTAATTCACATCGTCCGCTACGTTTTTGAAATTAATTGTTTTCCATAGTTGTGAAAGAAGCTTCCTTAAGTTTGCGAAAAACCCGCTTACTATGCACATTTCCACAATTACCAAAGATAAAAGCTTAGAGCTCAACAAAATCTAATTTCGTTTATATTTTTCAGATACCGAAAATCTAATAAAGAGATAAAAATAGATTTTGAGAAATTCTTGGCCAAATAGATTTTTTTTTTTTGACCCGGCTTTCTCCGATCTGCATGAAACTTTGAATAACAATTATTGTTTGTTTTTGGGCAATCATTCTCATTTGTGTTAAAACTCGGCCATTTTGAACCATGCATTTTTTAATCAAAAGAGCGTATTCGTCATTCATCAATAAATCGAAACACGACAACGTCACTTCTAATCTAAATGACGTCTGAGACAAAGTTGTAGGGAAAAACAGATTATTTCTAGGAAAACTACACTATTCTTTTTTAGTAAAAAATCTAAAAAAGTGTTGAAAACTTAAATCTAGATAGAGCTGGAATTAGGGCGTAACAGCTTTTGTAAACAATGACTTCTCTCGATGATTTCTACAAAATCAAGGCTCGCCCACGCAAATCAACATCATCATCGAGTAGAGGAAGACTTTCTCTACCCGATAGTTGTATTGGATTGCGTAGGCGTGCCTTGAATTCCTAGAAATCTTTAAGAGAAGTTATTGTTTACAAAAGCTGTTGCGCCCTAATTCCAGCTCTTTCTAGAAATATATAAAAAATGTCTTTGTTCAAAATTTTAGATGTGCCAGTACGTACACACTTAGCGACGTTTTCCTTGTTCGGTAATTTTTCACCGAAGATAATCGGTAGATTTTTCGGTAAAAAAATATATATTACCAACATTCGGTAATGTTTTACCGAAATGACGGTAATCTGGGTATTATATTGACGAACTCAGTAAAAAATATGACAGTAAGAACTGTAAAACGAGGCAAATGCCGAATTCGGTAAAAAAATACCGAACAAACTGCAAATTACAAACACGTTTACCGAACTTCTGTAACTAATTCCAGACTGTCAAATCGAAAGACGGTCAAGTTTATATGAAGTGTTGGAGTGAACAGTACCAGTGAAAATCAACCGGAAAATCCAGTGAAAACAGTGCAGGTATGCTGCCAAATACAGGTGCATGAATAATACATCTATTAAATATTCCGTCCGAACCGAAGGCGAACCGGGCGAACCAGCCTCAGACTGAAAGCCTCCTTAATGAAGAAAACTTAACTTAACTTATTCCGTCAGAAAAAGATTATTAGACCCATTTTTTTTTAACTTTACAATCGTTTTTCAGACATAACAACCAGGAATTCTGTGTTTTTCTGTCGGGATCAGGTTTCAGCCTATGTTCCTGGACTGGAATCGGCATGAAAGCAGCCATCTACAAAAATGATACTCCAGCGAGCAATGTTATTACTATCATAATATACGATTACTTTTAAATAAAATCTCACAAATAATAATGTATAAAAAAGCTTTAAATTTTATTCCACCGAAAAAGAACCAAAAACAATACAAAAAAACGACAAATTTCATTTTGCGGAACAGTTCTGTAAAAAATTACTGAATCGTTCGGTAAAAAGTTATCAATTTGTTCGGTAGTTTTGACAGCTCATCAACAATCTGTTTACCGATCTTTCGGTTGTCATTTCGTTTACCGAATTGATTACCGAACGTTCAGCTGTTGAAAGTTCGGTAAAAAATTACCGAATACGGTAATAATTTCTAAGTGTATACTCTGGTGTACTGGATGGAGGTGCGTCGTTAATGGACAACGAAAAAGGCACAGAGGAAGCTTGAAGTGCTGGAAGAAGTAATAGTGGAGGTGGATGTGATCGATGTATGATTGACATCGGGATGTGATGTCCCCGGAGGCTGACAAAAACAATGCGCTGCTAAGAAACAGCACAAAACGCACCCCATGGGCAGAACGCACCACCCAACTAACATTTTTAGCTTTGTAAGCCAACTTTTCCAGCGTTGTGCTGTAAAGTAGCTGAAAAGAAGCTGCAGATACAGCTACAAGCAAAAGCTAGCAAAATAGTTTTGGAGAGCGTTTACTCAACTTTCTCACAACCATTATTCAATTTGTCAGTCGCACTGAATAACATCAGCCAATAAATGCTAATGTCACTTCTATACACACACTAATCAACTTTTAACTTGTAGCTGCAAAACAAAGTGAATATATTACTCATTTGATGGCTTCTAAACAACCAACCACTCTTGCTGAATAACATAAACATCAAAAGTGCTTTTTCAACAACTAAACAACCTGTACTCAGCTTATAAACTGTGTTAGAGCAACTTCGGAAGCATTTTCACAGTCAACTAGGTTTATTTTTAGACCTGTGCAGTTTACAGCTTTTACTCTGCTCTTTTATAACTAGTCGAGTAAAGTGATTCGTGTGCACTATTATAAAGCCTCTACTCAGCGATTTTGTTGTAGAAGGGAATGTTGATTTGTTTACACAAGTTCAAAGTGTTGGCGTAGCACAGTTGGTAGTGTCAAGGTTTGCCAATGAGGTCGTCTCGAGTTCGATTCCAGGTTCCGGTGCAGGGTAAATAATTTGGTAATGATTTGTAACTAATTTTGATTAATTTGATTCACAGCAAAATAAACTCAATAAATTCCATCATAAAAAATCGTAAACAGAGCGGTTCCACGAACAAGTGGGAAATTTTTCCAGTTTTTATTTTTTGTATTTTTTGATTTGCATGAAACCTTGCATACAAGTTTTTAGGGAAGAAAAACGCCGTTTTGCATACTTGGTTCGCCATTTTGAATCTAGCCTTACTTATGAGAAGGGCCTATGAAAAATGCACATGATATCTTCAAAAAATTGTATCTCGGAAACGGTTTGTCCGATTGGTTTGGTGTCTTGGGCGAAGTTTTAGACAATTGTTGGTGTTATATGGAGAAAATATGCACGGTAAAAAAAAAAGTTTGGTATTTGTGTTTTGAACTAAAATATAAATTTTCCCTTTAAAGTGACATGTCAATAATTTTTTTATTATCCTTATGTTATAGCTGACTGAAAATGCTATCTAGTGCACAGTAGGTTGTTCTGGAGAAAAATAGATTACGATGAAAAAAATTGTTTTTTAAAAAAATACAATTTTCAAAAAAGCTATTAAGAAAAGTCAAAAAAGTTTGTCACCCTAATTTTATGAAAGTACATCAAATTTTCAAACAAAAAGTACTTCGGTAACATTTTTCTAAGATGCACCGTTTAGAAGATATTACTGATTTAATATTGTTTTTTTTTGATAACTTAATAAGTTTTGGCCTTTTTCGGATGTACTCCGTGTTTTTCTAGTTTCAAAAGTATTTTTTTCGGAAAGATTGGAAAATTTTGAGTTAAAATGACACTGACAGCTTAAAGATTCGAGTGAAATTCTCTGCCTTAAAAGTATTTTGAAAAACAAGTTACAAAATCCCACTATCAGGAACAATGATTTCTTCAAATGATTTTTGGTGCGTTGTGCTGAAAACGTGCTAACAAGTATTAGATACAGGTAATCAGATACCAGTTAGCTGTACTACGTACAGTTGGTGATTGTAAACATGGTCTTTGTTGGAACTAGTCCACCATGGCCACGCTGGCCATAACGAGGCTAGCTCCGTCGTTGACCGTTCCTTAATAATAAATAAAAAGAACGCAGTAGTCACCTTCCATCAAACTGATACCTCAATCAACAACCGCCGCACTTTTTATTCATTCCAGGTATATACAATTTACAATCTTCTTCAATAACAATATACCTACGCCAGCAAATCTACCTCGCTCCAACTCTCCAAACTCGTACCTGAAGGTTCGACGATACCTGAGCGTTCAACTCTACCTATCTTCCAACAGTCTTTACCCAGCATTCTATGATTTCTACCCGTGAGCTGTATAATAATGTCTGACTCGGTTCTGAATTCATCCAGTATCTACTAGGGAAAACCAAACAGTAAATGCAGAAAGGTTGCTAGTAGCATAGTGATTATAGTAATTTCAGCTCATAATCCTGTTGTTTTGAACGAGATCCAGTGTTGTTTGATAACATAATAATTGTAAAGGAAAGTGTAACACGTTTTGGTGCAAAGGTAAGTTTTAAATACACATTTTAATTATATGTTTTGTGATATTTTCGTACAAAACTAACAATTGGAAAATATTTTCTATGTTACAGATTACAAAATGAGTAAAATAAGATGTATTCGCCCATTCAAAGACATTCAGTGTTCGAAAGAGCTGCGATATCTCACGGATGGTATCATCCAAAAACTAAAATCAATTGGATTTTCCAAGGTATCCACACTGAACACCAAGGATTTTCGTGTTTGTTCGTCTTGCCGTCTACATATTGATTCAAGAGCTCACCTCACCCAAAACGAGGAACAAAGCGTAGCCGGCGGCTCAAGGATGCCAACTGTTCAGACCATACCTGATGTACCTGATTCGCAAAGCTATGAAAGTTTGGTCACGATACCATCAGAGTCAACGCTAAGCACAATTAAATCAAATGAAGACTTCACGATGCCTGTAGACGTCGAAATATTCAACCGAGGAATAGCAGCTATTCGTGTTTCGCCTATAGATTTAGGTAAGGTTAAAAATGTTCACTATCCTGAAAAAAAGTGCGCTGAAATCGTCGAAGGTGTACGAAGAAATCTTTTTAAATTAGACGCTAAAACAGAAAAAGCAAACGAGTTTGATGAAGTCATAGAAAATATGAAAATTAAATTTTTAAATTCAGCCACAAGGCAAGAAAAACTATCAATTTTATCATTGTTGCCAAAATCATGGTCAGTACAAAAAATTGTAGACGAATTTAAAACCAGTAGAAATATGGCATCAGATGCAAGAAAGGAAAGAGATAATGTATTTGATTCATCTCAAGGTTCAAGCTCTGGAAAAG